TTTTTTTTACTCTATAAATTGTGGACCACATGAATGTATCCCCCATAAAATAATTTCATAAAGATCAAAGTTTCGTGCAGTTATGCGATTACGTTAGTGACTTTCGTCTCCCCACTGTAGCAGGTGGGGTGCATTCATGGCTGCCACTGTTCACCCCTCCTCTGGGCACGCTCTCGGGCAGGCTCTGCCTACGTTGCTCCTGGCCTTGGCTATGAGGCTTGTGCCCGTGGGACTAGATGCAAACACGACACCATCAGAGGCTTGAAACTGTGCCTGTGTGTGTCGACTCTCTCTCAGGCCCCGTGCTGCCTCTCTGAGAACGCGCCAGGTTAGATGTGAGTCACCAGGAGAGTGACTTGGCCCAGCTGAGCCCTCGTGAACCAGCCAGCCCCCATCTGACCCACAGCTGATTGCAGATGTGCACGTGGGTCCAGCCGAGGTACCCAAGCCTGGTCCAGACCAACAGAGCCACCCAGCTGACCTGTCCAAGTGTAAGAAATATTAAATGGACGAGTGGCCAATTTGTTACACAGCAGGAGCTAACTGCTGTAATCACTGGAGTCAGGTCTTTAAGTTGGGGGGAAAGAGATGTGGGGTGGGGGAAGGTGGTTCCTCATACTGAGAAACAGACTGGATCCGCTCTAAAAATCTTTCATAGCTCGGTCAGAGGAGAGCCACTCACTTCTTCCAGAACAATTTCCTACTCTGAATCTCTCCCACTCATTTTTCTTAGTCAATCTCGATTTCTTCTTCAGACTCCGCTCCTTTAATAAATATGCCAACTTTATTTACCAAAGGAGCCAAACGTTTTTATTCTCTTAATCCAATTAAAACCACTGAGCAAGTGCCTATTCAATCATGTCATCAACAGCGAAAAGGCCAGCCAGAGCCCCTCGGAACTGCGCCGCGTTCATAATTTTGCAGCGGGGAGGCAGGTGAGGGGAGGCCGGCAGACGTGGGGGCCAGTCCCAGGGCTGTGTGCTCCCCACTGTGTGAGCTGGGGCAAGTTACTGAGCTTCTCTGAGCCTCGGTTTCCTTGGGGGCAGTATGGGGGTGATGTGGTAGGTCCCCCACAGGTGGTGAGGCTGGAAACTAGGCACACAAAACGGTTGGTGAAGCGCCTGGCGTGTGCGCCCTGCAACCTCGACCCTTCATCTTCTGCTGGTCCGGGCGGGTTTCTGCGAGGGCGCCACTGTTCACAGGCTTCTCCCCGCTGTGAACGCTCAGGTGTTGAGTCAGGTGTGGGAGCCGGGCAAAGGTGTCCCCACGCCGGCCACGCTAGAGTAGGGCTTCTCGTGTGCATGGGTCCTCCGGTGTCGGATGAGCGCCGAGGAGAAGCTGAAGGCCTTCCCGCAGCCGCCGCACTCGTAGGGCTTCTGGCCGGTGTGCACGATGTGGTGCTGGACCAGGTAGGAGCGGTTGCTGAAGGCCTTGCCGCACGCGGGGCAGGCGTAGGGCCGCTCGCCGGTGTGCGTGCGCCGGTGCAGCGCCAGGGCCGAGCCCTGGCTGAAGGCCTTGCCGCAGTCCGCGCACCTGTAGGGCCGCTCCCCGGTGTGGATCTTCTGATGCTCGATGAGGCAGGACACGTGGCCGAAGGCGGCGCCGCACTGCGGGCACTTGTAGGGCCGCTCGCCCGTGTGCACGAAGCGGTGCTGCAGGAGGTGCGAGCGGTGGCCGAAGCGCTTGCCGCAGTCCGGGCACGCGTAGGGCCGCTCGCCCGTGTGCGTGCGCTGGTGCTGCGTCAGGTGCGACACCTGCGTGAAGGCCTTGGCGCACCGGCTGCAGGCGTAGGGCTTCTCGCCCGTGTGGATGCGCCGGTGCTCGGCCAGCGAGGCGCTCTGGCTGAAGGGCGCGCCGCAGTCCGGGCAGGCGTAGGGCCGCTCGCCCGTGTGCACGCGCCGGTGCTGCGCCAGGTGCGCGCTCTGCGTGAAGGCCTTGGCGCACTGGCCGCAGCGGTACGGCCTCTCCTCGGTGTGGACGCGCTGGTGGCGGA